AAGGTGTGTAGGGCATCCCGTACAGGTCCTTGTGCGCATGCAAATGTGCATTTCTCAGCTCCAGGGTGCAGTTGCTAAGTGGTGCGGTAGTTGCACCTTCAGAATTTTTAAGAAGCCGCCACGCCATTTCCCAAAGTGGCTGCACCGTTCCCCATTCCCAGCAGCAATGGGGGTGACCCAGTTTCTCCGCGCCTCTTCCAGCGTCTGGGGCTGTCGCTGACTTTTGCTTTAAGCCTTTTTGATAAATGTGCGGTGACTCTCTCTGTGGTTTTAATTTGCATTTCCGAATGGTTAAAGATACCCCTGTCTTTTCCTGTCCTTGTCCCTGCCCGTCTGTGCTCTTCAGTGAAATGTCTGCTAGTGTCTCTTGCCCATTTTCAGATTGGTTTTTACTGTTGAGTTTGGACACTACGCCAAATTCTATACTCAAGTCTTTGTCAGATGTGTGGTTCGCAAATACTTTCTCTGTGACTGGAGCTTGTTTCTTCATCCTCTGAACACGATCTTTCTCAGAACAGAAGTTTTAATTTTGAAGAAGTCCAGTCTGTCCGTTTTTCTTTTTCTGGCATGTGGTTTTGGTGTCAGGTGTAAGAATTCCCGGCCTAGCCCAAGATCCCAAGGGTTTCCTCCTATTTTTTTCTGAAAGTGTTATAGTTTTATGTTTTACATCTGTGGTCCATTTTGCATTAATTTTTATATAAACCGTGAGGTTTAAGCCAAGGCTCGCTTTTCTGCCTGTGAATGTCCAACCGCCTCAGCACCCCTTGTTGAGAGAGCCCGTCCTCCGTTGCGCTGCTTTGGCACATTGGCCAGAAGTCAGCTGTGCATGTTGCTGCGGGTATGGCCCTGGGTTCGCGGCCCTCGGCGCCTTCCCTCAGTGTCTTCCCCGGTATCACAGTGTCTTCATTATTGTGGCCGTGTATAATAGGTCTTCAAATTAGGGTGCCAATTCCTTCCGCTTCATCTTCTTTTTCAAAATTGTTTTAGCTATCCTAGTTCTCTTTTATTTCCATACAAATGTTAGAAATTCTTGTCTATTTCTACAAAGAAAACCTGCTGGGTTTTGATAGGAATTGTGTTAAACCTGTCTATCAATTTGGGGAGAATTGACACCTTCACCATGTGGAAGCTGCCAGGTAGGTCTCCTCATGGATTTATATCTTCTCTAATTTCTTTCATGGGGATCTGGCGGTTCTCAGCCTACCTCCTCTGACCTCTTCTGCATGTGCTTTGTTCTAATTGTACCTGAGCCTTTTTTAAAAGATTTTATTTATTTACTTTTAGAAAGAGGGGAAAGGAGGGAGAAAGAGGGGGAGAGAAACACGGATATGCAAGAGATTCAGTGATCACTTGCCTCTCACACCCCCCACACCCCACAGATGACTTGGCCCGAAACCCAGGCACGTGCCCTGACCGGGAATTGGACTGGCGACCTTTTGGTTCTCAGGCCAGTACTCAATCCACTGAGCCACACCAGCCAGGGCGCACCTAAGTTTTTTTAAGTGTTTGTAAATGGTACTGTGATTTAATTTCAGTGTCTATATGATCATTGCTAATATGTGTAAATACAGCTGACTGTGTATGTTTATCTCTCGTAGCCTGTGACCTGCCGAACTCACTCGTTAGTCCTAAGAGGGTTTCTCTGTAGAGCCCTTGGAATTTTCTGTGTAGACAATTAGGTCATCAGCAAACAGGGGCCGTTTGATTTCTTCCCTTCAGCTCCCCACGCCTTCCACTTCCTTTTGTTGCCCAGGGCGCGGGCTGGCACTGCCAACACTACGCCGAATGAGAGCCGCGAGGGCAGACCCTTGTTTGCTGCAGTCGCAGGCACGAGGCACTCGCCTTCCCCCGTCAGGATAATGTTAGCTGTGTGCTTTTTGCAGATTCTCCATCAACTTGAAGAAGTTCCCCTCTCTCCCTGGCCCTCTGAGGGTTTTATCACGAGCAGCTGTTGAATTTCTTCAAGTGCTTTATATGAATTAGTTGATATGATCATGTGATTTTTTTTCTTCTTTAGCCTGTTAATATGGTCAAGTACATTGATTGATTTTGGAATATTGAACCCGCCTTGCATCCCTGAAGTGAACCCCATTTGATCTCAGTGTATAATTATTTTTATACATTGCTAAACTGCATTCGCTAATAATTTTAGGGACTTTTACATCGGTTTTCATGAGGGATATTGGTCTGTAGTTATCTTTTTTTGATTGCCTTTGTCTGGATTTGGAATCAAATTAATACTAGCTTTGTAAAATGAATCAGAAAGTGTTCCCTCGTGTTCTGTTTTCTGGAAGAAATTGTTTAGATTTGTGTTAATCCTTCTTCAAATGTTTGGTGGAATCCTTTTGTGAAACCACCTGCCCCTGAAAATGTCTTTAGGGGTAGTTTTTAAATTCAAAATTTAATTTCCTTAAAAGCTATAGTCTATTCACATTACCTGTTTCATATTGGAAGAGTGGGGTGGTTTGTGCTTTTCTAGGAATCGATCCACTTTTGTCTAAGATGCCCCATTTACACGTGCAGAGTTGTTCATGGTGCCCCCCACAACCCGTTGCCCTCTGGAGAGTCTGGGGTGGTCCTCCCTATTCCGTTCCGGTGTTGGGGGTCTGTGTCTTTTCTCTCTTTCTCTGTCAGCCTTCCTAGAAGTTTGTCAGTTGATTGATGTTTTAAATAATCGACTCTTCCTTTCATTGATTTTCTACATTGTTTTTCCATTTTCCATTTCATTGATTTCTGCTCTTTATTATTTCCTTCCTTCCTTCCTTCTGCAGTTGTCATGGGTTTATTTTGCTCTTTGTCTAGGTCCTTAGATTATTGAGTGGAGACATTTCCTCTCCTCTAATGGAAGCATTCGGTGCTGTGAACGCCCCTCTCGGCATTGCTTTGTCTGTGTCTTGCGGCTAAATTTCGATGTGTTGTATCTTCATCTTCATTCGGTTTGATGACTTTTTAAATTTTCCCAGAGGCTTCCTCTTTGATCCGTGGGTTACTTAGGTGGGTGCTGTTTGGTTTCCTGGTGTTTGGAGGTTTTCCTGCAACATGTCTGTTACTGATTTCTAGTTTGATGCTCTTATGGTCAGAGAACATACTCTACATGGTTTCAATTCTTTAAAATGTGATGAGGTTTTCTTTATGGTCCTGGATGTAGTCTGTCTTGATACATGCTTTGTAGACACCCAGAAAGAATGCGTGCTTCGCTATTGTTAGGTGGAGAAGTCAATAAATGCCAGTTGTCTGATGGCTTCTAAATTTATCTCAAGACTTTGAGATCATTAACTCTTGGAGGTTATGGGTATATTACTTTTGCCAAAAATTTCAGAGCAAGCAGCCTGAAGCCCTGCTGATTCACCAGGGAGGCTGGTGAAGCCCCCGGCCTGGTGGTTCTCTCCGGGGGGTCACCAGTTTTCTCCCCAGCACCTGTGAGCCGCACAGGAGCCCAGGTCCTTGGGCCAGCGGCAGCTCAGCACGCAGCTCTGCCCAAGTGTCCCTGACAGTTTTACTCTTATTGTTTCAAGAGGGGTAACAAAAGAACGTTTTCCTTCTTCCCCTCAAGCCATGGACATTTCAGTCAGAGGGAGCCTTGGGTCGCCTGGCCTACCCGTGCCTTCGGCAGCTGAAGGGATGAGTTCTCGGGTTCATTCAGATGGATTAATCTTCTAATTTTTTAATAAACTTAACATATTTCTTTTTTAAAGATTTCATTAATTTTTTTAGAGAGAAGGGAAGGAAGGGAGAGGGAGAGGGAGGGAAACATCGGTGTGTGAGAGAACCATCGATCAGTTGCCTCTCTCACGCCCCCAACTGGGGACCTGGCCCGCAACCCAGACATGTGCCCTGACCGAGAATTGAACCGGCAACCTTTCAGTTCACAGGCCGGCGCTCCATCCACTGAGCCACACTGTACAAATGTATATGATACAAAGAAACAAAAATAAGAAAATAAAATTTGCATATCATCTTACAGCTAGAAAATAACGTTATTATTTTGAAATATATCCTCCCAATATTTCCAAAAATGGGATTGTACTGTTTTACAATCTTTTTCTATTTTTGCTTTAACAATAGACATGACCATTTTCCAAGATACTATTTCTGACAACAGAACCCAGTTGCACAGTGCAGATATGCTATCGTGTATTCAATGCCCTTTGATGGGGTTGTTACAGTTTTCATTCTATGAAATAACACTGACAGGTGTCTCTGTGCACGTGCATGGTTATTGCCTAGAAATGGCAGGTCTCTTTCAGTTCCAGTGAAGGGTCAGTCACAGAGTCAGCACAGATTCCATGAAGGCGGGGCCAGGGCCTCGGGTAGGCTCTCGGTGTTTGAGGGCACGAACTGATGGCCAGCCAGAGCCAGGGAGCGGTTGCTGCTGTCCCACAACAGGTCTTCTGCTGGAAGAGATAGGCCTGTGAGCATCCACACCTTCCTGTGAGGTATGTGGCTTCGGGCCAGCCAGGAAACAGGAAGCCAGGAAGGGTATATTCAGCCTGAGACCTGGGCCTCATAAAACCAGTCACCCAGCCCGGTTTTGCGTGCCAGGCAACAAAGGGGCAGACTTTTCGCCGGCTTCCGCTCTCTGGACCGCCAGAGAACACCGTGTTTTGCACTTGAAATATGCCTTCAACTCGCTTTGTCATAGTGATTGCCCTCATAAAACACACCAGGGCACTGCAGGAAAACATCCCCCGTTTAGCGACCCAGACCTGCCTGCTTTTTATAGCTGGTGCTCACAGTAGGACGGCCACAGCCTTGGCCACTCTGCTGGGAGGCCTTCGAAAGGCAGGTGGGCGGCCTGGAGCCGTCCAGGAGGGAAAGAGCACCTGGAGGTGAGCAGGCGAGGTCCCAGGTGCCAGCAGGGAGCCGGAGCCTCCGCGCAGCCAAGGCAGGCAGCTCCTCCCCACGACCTCAACGCCACAGGCCCGCAGCACGCAGGCTCGGGCCACACTGACCCGCAGACCCATTCCTTTTCCCACCTGTCTTTCTCTTTTGGTCTGTAGAAAAAGAAGAGTTAATCCAGAACGTGCTGACCCAGGTCGCAGAGCAATTCTCAAGGTACAGACTCTTCAGATACTCTACTCTCTGGAGATGGATGCGTGGTTTTTTTTTCTAGCAGTGGCAGCCTCGCCTCCGAGGCTCTCTCTGCCGGCAGACACTTACCTGGAGGAGCTGCCTTCCGCACTCAATCCTCTGTGATTTCTGTAACGAAGCCACTTTGGTGGGGGCCGGGAAACACTCACCTCCTATCAAAGACCACCTGAGGTGGGCACTTTGAGAACGAGAGCTCATATTGCCAAGAATTTTCTTGACTGGCTCTTCTGGGACTCGGGGTTCAGCCTACAAGTATCGTCACCATTTTTTTAAATAGGGTTTCTCATGAAGATGCTGTGTAGACGTGGGTCCTTCTCATTCTGGACTATCCTCCAGTTCTGGGGTCAGCGCTTGCTGGTTCTCAGATATTTCACTGTGGCATTGCGCTGCCTGCCCCAGGGGAATTCAGATGGGGCGAGGGCATGTGGGTGGTACTTTCTTAAAGCCCAAGAACTGTCTAACTGAATGAGTTGGAGCCCAGGGAGGGCACACCAGGTCCCCTGAAAGTGGTCTGTGCCCGGGGCAGGGGGCACAGGGTAGGGCTGTCCCAGCTGAGAGCAGAGCACCCCCTCACTCCCAGGGTGGGGAAGGAAACATTCCCCACTGGCAGAATACTGCCATGTGTTCCCGCTTGGGATATACGCCCTTCAGATAGTCTGAGGGTCTCTCTCTCTTCTCTTCCACCTCCAGACAGTGCGAGTTCCTTAAAAACAACTCCTTTGCACCTGCACCTCACCTGCCCACCTCCTCCCTGGCAGCAGTTCAACAGCTGGTTGCTGATCCCCTTTCAACTCTGAGGATCTTGTGACTTATGTCTTGCCTTCTTTTATCCCTAGAGCATTTAAAATCAACGAACTCAAAGCAGAAGTTGCAAATCACTTGGCAGTGCTCGAGAAACGCGTGGAATGTGAGTGGAGCTTTTGTTTCCTTTGTCCTCCTATATCTTTGACCTCTATCTAAATTAACCTTGTAAACCAGTGGTGAGAGGTGAAGGGAAGTGTGAGTCAGTCTTTTCTTTATGAAATGCCCAAAAAGTCATGTTCACAGAGCCTAGGCCAGTGACTAATCCAAGCTTTTTAAAAGTAGCAAGTACACAGTAACATGGTACAGTAACCTTGTAAAGAACGCATTCCTTCCACGCAGAAGAGAACAGAATGAAAATAGTAATGAAAACAGGAAGCCCTCGATATAGACCTCCCTCGACAGGGGCCTCTGCTATCTCAAGTGTCTCTTTTTCCATAAATGAGGACACACTGACCTGCACTCTGCGGCTTTGGGGGGATGCATCTACTGTCATTACCTCTCGGTTCCCTGGCAACACAAAGGAAAGCAGACAACCTGCTAGAAAGCAGAGAGAGTCAATCAGTCCTCGATTCAGTGACCAAACAGCTAAAAATCTGGGCGGTGTCACAGCTTCGAGTCACGCGTCCTTTGTGTCCTGATCCACAAATAAGGACATTCTCTGCGGGAATCCCCACATGCGCCGCAGCGCCCCGTCCCACTCCCAGCGTGGGAGGCTCTTCGTCAACGTCCCGGCAAAGGGTAGCGGCTCAGAGCACCATGTCTGTGAACTTCGGGGTGACTAAACAAATCCAGACTCGAGGCCGTCGGGGTTGTGGCGGCACCAACACTACCCAGCTGATTCATACCCTTAGGACTTTGCTGAGTGTCACCTGTCATTATCGTGTATGAATTGCTTGGGGTTTTTTCAAGAAAAGAAATTTAGGATCGTGCAAAAACCAGTTCACCTAAGTAACTTGAAACATGATTCACGCAGTCATACTTTTCCAAAGGCGTTGACATTTTTAAATCCTCTTCGCCATTCCAGCTTCGAAACAGTTTTGTTTTCCCCATTGATGATGGAGAAGCCACAAAGAGAGAAGTGATTTTCTCAAGTTCACTTAGCAAATTAGAAAAGTACAGAAACCTGGGACCAGCTGCTCTCTCTGCCTGCTGCCTGCCCTGCTGTGATAGGTCAGCATCCTCTGCTGCTGTCTGCTCCCCCCCCCACTCCGCCCCCCACAAGGAGGCCTGAGGGCGCAGGTTAGGAAGCAGGCTGCAGGCGGCCGGACTTGCAGCCACGACCAAAGACAGCGGGGGCTGCCCTGACCAGAAAGGAGCCCTTTTCCAGAGGATTTCGGAGACCTCCCATAGTGAGCAGGAGGGCTCAGGAACAGGGCTCGGCCAGCAGCAGGAAAGATGCCCCGAACCCCAGCTTAGCAGACTCCGTGAGGGCGCTGAGCTGCCGTGTCTGAGTCCCAGGTGCGGCGCCTGCTGCAGCGCCTCCGGCTCTGTCCTCCAGTCACCCACGGCCCGGCAACCACTGCTGCAGACATCGGGCTGCTTCTCCGGGGACTGGCTACAGATTCTAAGTCTGGACAGAGGGGGACTGTGTGCCCACACTCTAGCTGCAAGAAAGGCCATAAAAAGTACAGGAGTGCCCTGTGGCAGTCATGACAGAGAGTAACCGCGCACCGGGAGACTTAAAACAACAGAAGTGAAATCTCCGACAGTTCTGGAGGCTGGAAGTCCAAGACCAAGGAGTCTTCAGGGTCGGTTCCTTCAGGAGACTGAGGGAGAATCTGCTCCAGGCCTCTTCCAGCTTCTGGTGGCTACGAGCCACCCTTGGCTTGTGGCCAGATCACTCCAAGCTGGCTTCACAGGGCCTCCCTCCCCTGTGGCTCAAGTCCCCTCTGCCTGTCTCTTATCAGGACACCTGCATTTGAATTTAGAACCCACCCTGATCCAACGTGATCTCACCTCAAGAAATCTGCCAAGAACCGTTTTCTAAATAAAATCCCCATGCACAGGTTCCGGGACCTAGGATGTGAGCACCTCTTTGTGGGGAGGACACAGTTCAAGCCACCACAGCAAGCATTTGGCATTTCTGTCTCCGGCAGTGGGAGGCGAGCTCAGCTTCCCACCAAGCCCCACAGAGCGGGACAAGGGAAAGGGCTCAGCCAGAGAACACAGACAATGAAAATCATTTGCTGCTGAGTCCCCATCTCCATTTACAGAGGGGAAGGTCCCCTCCAGGCGCTCAAATGTCCGGGGGCAGCGGGCACCTCCTGCTCATCCCCTCTCCTCCCGCTCTGCCTGCTCCCTCCTGCCCCCGCCCCGCCCACCTCGCTCCCTCTCCCCGCACGGAGGCCCGCTCCAAAGCTCGCTGTTAACTTGTACGCAGGCAAGTTGAAGAGGGCACAAAGGAATTTTCAAAACCCCTACAGAGAGCTATGTTGACTCAACTTGGGTGGCTTCCAGCGTCTGGCCGTGGGGACGAAGATCGGGGCCAGGAAGAGTTTTCGTTGCGCCTTCGAGCACCACGTGAAGTAAGGACCGTGAAAGGACGCGGCCCACAGGACCTTCTCCCCTGGCCTGCCAGACCCCAGAATTCTCCAGAACTGGCTTGTTCATCGGCGGGAGGGCAGCTCCCCACAGGGCCCTTGGGTAAACCACAGAAATCCGGCAAATTCACGTGATTACCTGGAGAGGCATCGCCGCTTCATCCTCCACACTCGGGCTCACAGCGCAGGTGGAAAGTATTGCCGGTTTTGCCAGTTGTGCTCATTTCTAGCACCAAGGCCCAGAGGGCAGGAAGGGCATGGAGGGAGGGAGGGGACCTCTCAGGAGCAGGGATGGAGGTGGGGATGGTCTGGGAACTGCAGGCTTGGCAGCGGGTCCCCCACGGCCGCACCTGGAGCCGTTGTTGCGGCCAGCACCCCACTTCCCCGCGTCCTCCTGGCTGCCCTCGTGCAAACACACACAGACACAGACACACTCGTACACTGCTGCGCACGCATGCGCACACTCCATCTGGCGTTAGCTGTTTTTTGCTTCTCAGGTTCAAGAAGGCGTCCAGCTAGCACCGGCCACCTATAGGAGGCATGACATTGTTTGACTTGTTTTAAATGGAATTTCCTGCTTTTTTTTTTTTCACCTTCTCAAACATGTAATTCTTCTGAATCAAATGTAAATGTCTCCATTTCCTTAATTCACTGTGAAAGCTTTTCTTCCTTTCCGTGTAAAATGTTTGTCATCTTGAGGGAGTCTGGGGTCCTGCTTAGCTTAGAGATGATTTTGTAAACAAAGGACACCCCGCTCCGCATCTGCTTCCTGGCTGGAGATGAAGCGTCACAGGGTTCCTTCCTTCCTCGTTTGCTGGCCGCTGTGCCGGGGTCCCTGCGGGTGCCCTGTGCCCAGGGCCTGGACCAAAGCCTAACCACAGGGAGAGCTGGCCCCACGGGTCATGCAAACAGCCCAGGAGGCTCGAAGCTGAAGTCCAGCCTTGATCTCCCCGTCGTCACTCAGGAAATGTGCTGTATGCGAATTCTTACCGAAGTCCCTGGAGGAAGTGTTGAAACACAGCCCCCGTGGCTTTAAACAGCTCGAACTAGCTCTGCAGCTGAAGGAGGGCCTTGCCGCCCCAACGCCTCTTCCCCGAGCCCAGGGAGGCCTAGGAGGCCCGGGGAGGCGGGGCGAGAACAGAGCCGCCTCCGAGACCTGTCCCCGAAGCCAGCGTCCCTCTTAGAAATGCATCCTTAGAGGTCTTCCCTCACAGTGGCGTGTGACTTGTCCACAGAACCACCTCTAACGTCCGCGGAAGGACAGCCAGGTGTCTAGGGGCGCTCCTTCTGCGAGTCAGCCTGCCCGGGGCGGGGCCTAGCGGGGAGACTAAGCTGCAGCCTCCCATGCTGGGTGGGGCTGGAGGCCGCTGCTGTCGGGTTTCTGGTCTGTGCCCACATCTGTTTAAGATTCGAGATGGACAGGTGGGGCCACATGCATGGCACTGATGTCCAGTCACAACCCCAGTGTGCGCAGGACTCTGGGGGAGGCCCAGCTCCTCAGCCAGGCCTTCCCTGCCCCCCGCCCCCGCCGGGCAGGGGACAGGCAGGGATGGGGTGGGGGCGGGAGGTGGGCTGCACAATCTTCCAAAAGCAGCCCCGTGCCTGGGAAAGGGCCAGGACGCAGGAGCGTGGTCTGGGGCCTGGCCTGCGGCACGCTCTGTCACCGTCTCGGCCCACCCGCCCGCATTCCGCTCTTTAGTCCCATGACTAGTTGTTTTTCTCTTCCATTGATTAATGCAGGACTTTTGCCATCTTGTTACTCACTATCAATTTCCTTGGCAACCAGGCCCTCCACAAAGGTGATTGCCATGAATGCTGAATCTCTGGGATTCAAAGCAACGATATTACACTGTATGGCCCAAAAGGCTTTGCTTTAACATTGCCCCCAATAACTGGCTAAGGAGTCTGACCTACGTCCACTGCAGTATCGGTGCAGTCAAACATTACGCCCCCACCAGACCCTGTGAGCTAGGGCACAGCTGCTGACACGCGGAATACCTGTGACTTACTGATAACGGGAAAAAGCAAGTGAGAAAGCAGAACAAAGAGCATGATCCCAATTTTGTCTTTTTAACATTAAGAGTAGATAGACAGGTAGTTAGAATGCATGTGCGGGGGAGGGGGCAGTGTTTGGAAGGATACATGCCAGTTCATATATCGAATGGGTTTTTTTGTCCCAGTAAGATCACAGGTAAATGTTTAAATATTCGAGATGCTCCGTATTTCCTGTTTTCTACAATTATCAGACATCATTTTGTATAAAATGATGTTGGAAACATAATAAATGTAACCATGGACCTTCGCTGGTGGGCGGGGATGCAGCTACCGTGTGGGCCCTACACTGGGAGCTTCATCTCTTCCCCATGTGTGTCCGCTTCTCAGATCCAAGTCTACACCACACACCAGGTCTCTTCTCCAGGTCTATTCGCTTTTCGGCATTTTCCACCCTTCCTGTGTTGGTAAGACTGAGGTCCTCCCTGCCACCGGTGCAGAGTCTACTGTTTGCTGACGTCAGTGCGGCCCTGGCAGACCCACAGACACAGGTCCACGTGGTTCTCCTCTGCAGGGGACATCCTGCCATGTGGGCCAAGGTCTGGGAGTGCCTGGGGGGCCACCCACAGCGTCCCCCTGTCCAAACGCAAACCATGACAGGGGTGTGCTGATATGTCTTCTCTTGGAGAAGGACTCGTGGCTTTCTTTGACTTCTTAAGCGGGTCTGTGATGCAGGACAGAGCGAAGAACACCCCACTCCAAAAGGAAGGGTGTGTGCTCGGGGCAGGTGACCAGAGGCACACCCAGGGGCGAGTGCCCCACGTTTCCCCCGTGGCAGCGCACCGGGCGTTGGCCACCAACACGGCTACCTCATGGTTTGGACCATCTGCATTTAAGGCCCCAGGCTTTGGCCCGTGTCCTGGTAGAGGAGGCACAGCGTCCCTGGTGTGACACAGAAGCAAGTCACCAGGACCAGATTTGAGTATCAGGTCCTCCGGATTCTGGCCACTCTGGGCAGAAAGAAGCAGCATCTTCGTATAGCCTTGCCTCTGTTTGGCTCCCGGCCCTGAGAACATTTAGAAAACGTGCCAGGGGAGGCTGTGGCTCCAGCTGCCTCCCCAGGCGCTGCCCCTGGGGAGTGTCCCCGCCTGAGCTCCAGGACCAGAGCGCTTCCTTGGGGTGGGAGGAACTGCCCATGTCTCGGAGTCGCTTTGTTTTCCTTAGAAATCTCAGCATTTTGTTTTTAGCCATATTCAGAGCCACACTTGAGGGAAAGGGGACTAGAGTGGCATCGTGGGTCTTGGGTTTTAGCACAAAAATTGAGGTGTGATTACAAAGTAACCTAGCCCATGTCTCCTGTTTCTGTGAAAAGACTCTAAAAGCCCTTCCAAAGCAGCTGCCTCGGGGCGCATTTCTGGGCTGCCTGTGCAGCGGCCGGAGTGCGCGTCTGGAAGTTGAGCCTGGACTTGGAGGCCTGAGCCCCAGCTCGCTCATTGATGGAAACCGCGTCCTGGCTTGTGGGGCACACCTCTGCCTCTGCCACGGGGCGCCAGGGGCACCTCCTGCCCAGGTTCTGCCCCTCCTTCATGTGGCCTGTTCACTTCCCACCCGTTTGAGTCCTCCAGGCAACTGCTCCAGTCTCAGTGACGTGTGCATCCTTGCCTCCTTGCGGGGAAGGCTGTGGAGGTGTTCATTGAGTCTTTGCTGCATTTTAGTGTGCTGGGGACCGCATTCTGGGCTCCGCCAACCCTTTTCTTTTCTTTTCTTTTCTTTCTGATTAAAGACTTCTCCTGGCTTGTGCTCTGGCTTGTGCTTAGGGGTATGGAGAAAGAAAGCTAGAAGTGGGTACAGGAAAAGTTAAGATTCAGGAAGCAGGGAGGAGGGACTTCCACCCCACAGATGAGGACCGCAGCCCGCACTTGGCCCTGGACCAGGCCCACGATGTTAGAGCTGAATGGGGGGCGGGGAGGGGGCTGACGATCAGCAGCGGGGCAGGAGCGGGAGCCCCTGCACTGAGTCAGCTTTCCTGTCAGGGACACGGGCGGGCGGGCGGCCCCCACTTACCAGCCTTGCAAGAGCCTCCCTGTGTATCCATGGTAACCCCCTTGTTTCTCTTTGTCGCCAGTGGAAGGACTAAAAGTGGTGGAGATTGAGAAATGCAAGAGTGACATTAAAAAGATGAGGGAGGAACTGGCAGCCAGAAGCAACAGGTAAGGTCCGTGCTGGGTGAGCCAGCCAGCGAAGGTGGGGGGTGGGGGGCTCCGTGTGGGTGTGGGGGTGGGAGCAGGCTGTGGTCTTTGTTTTCCCAAAAGCACAGCTGGAGCCTCTGATCGGCTCTGGCGGGGGGGGGGGGGGCGGCGCAGTCTGGACAGTCTGGAGGCGGCCCAGCTCCTCCAGGGATTTGCTTTTCAGTTAGGGAGCTTTCTTATCATGAAAGAGAGTTCGGCCTGGAGGCGGGGAGGCTGCTGTGTATTAAGGGGAGTAATCCTCCAGATCAAAGTGCCAGGATTAACTCCCCGACTGAAAGAAGTTGACACCGCTTTAAAAGAAAGGGAATAATAAAAAGAAAAGGCTCTTTGGCTTACAGGGGACAAGTGTCCTGGTGGCCCAGAAGTCCCCCTCCTGGGTGGACATCCCCATTGTACAGAGCAGCAGGTCAGGAGAGAAAGGCCCCCAGCTGTCCTGGACGCAGAAGTCACTTGTCCTGCCGAACAAGAAAGGGATGCATCCACACAGGCCCCCAGGAGCCAAAATTCCCGAAAAAGAGACCCCAGTCTTCATCGGGGCCCCTGCAAAAGTAGGTTTTTTGTACAGTAGGACCCTTTCCGAGAACCATAGTCACAGCAGATGTTCACATTTCAGGCAGAGGTGCACAGTGACAGCAAAGATGACGACGGACGTCACATGTGCAGTGAGCGCTCTCCTGCATGGGGGCTGGGCTCAGGGCTCTGCCCTCAGGGACCAGCCTGCTCCGTGGGGTTCTTGTACTGCCCGGAGTTCCCACCCAGGAGATGCACGGTCCTAACATGGCCCCTCACGCCGGAACTCCAGGCCCCTAAGTGTGCTGAGGTTGCAGCGGGGCCGACTGGGGGCTAACGAGCCCAAGTCCAGCCCTGCAGGTGCACCCGGCTGTCTTACAGAGAGTCGCCCAACAGTTCGGAGATCTCTCCCTGGTTTTAAAACGTTGATTGTAGCCCGCTTAGAGGGGGCGGGGTGTGGCTGTGTCGAAGGGCCTTCCAGGGGCAGGAGGTGAAGGGTCACCGGATCAGAGGCGGGAGGGGCTGGCTGGCCTTGGGGTGGGCTCAGGAGTAGCCTGACGGGCTCAGGGCCCTGTTGGCATGTGTTCTACAGGGACCGGGTCACGTTTATGTCACACTTACTTGGCAGCTTGGATTTCAGGATGTCTCATTCCATTTGGGTTGGGGCAGGGGAATTTACAACCACAGAAAACTGCGTAAATAATTCATCCTCACTGTGCCGTAGTGGGAGCTCTTTAGGGGACAGGAGATAGTCCTTCTTGTGACCTAGTAAGAGCCCTGGAGTTGTTCAGGGCCGCATGAAGCTGGGCCCCCAGGGCTGGGACCTGGCTTGGCAGCTGGAAGGACACTCAGACCCTACGTGACCGTTGTCACGGTGCCACCCTCAGCTCAGGACTTACACAGCTCAGCCTGGCCCCGGCTGCCCGTGAGCCCCACCCACCCCGTGCCAGACCGTCCTGCGGCCAGTCCCATTGCCCCGTTAGCCAGGCCCTGCCGTCCATGCTCAGGCTCACCCCCTCCCGGCAGGCCTGCATGCCACGCCCACTGTGGGGAGAGGACAGTGGCCCAATGTGGTCCCCACTGGGAGGAGCCACCTGGCACAGCTGCCCTCTCTGCCCAGGCCCAGGCTGGGCAGGTTGCATCAGAAGGGGATGCGCGTCCAATGCGGGTGGCTTTTCTAGTCGTCCGGCCGCATTGGGAGAGGAGGATTAAAACTCGAGTCCTGGTCTTTGGCCTGACACTGAGGCTGCCGGAGCGTGGCCTCTCGGCCACAGCCCCTTGTCTACGCAAAGGGCTGAAGGACCTGCTTCCCCAAGGGTGTGTGTCGGGCTGGGATGGTGTCCCCCTGGACTCCTTCCCGCCTCTGTGGCCATTACCCCACCCCCAACAGGTTTCATCCCCAGAGCCCACAGAACAGAACGCTAGATGTTCTTCAGCCTCTCGTCCCTCCTCAAACGACTAAATGTCCTCAGGCGCCCTTGCTCCTCCCCCCACTCCCGGTCTTATAGAAGCTGGGCAGGAACGGGGTGCGGGGGGCGCTCCGGTTGGGCTCTCTAGTGTGCACTGGTCCTACGGGTCAGACTGCAAGGGAAAAACAAAATTCCAAGTCGTATTACTTTCCTGTGGCTGCTATAACAAAATGCCACAAACTCAGGGGCTTAAGACAATAGAAATTTGTTCTGTCCTAGTTCTGGAGGCCAGAAGTCTGAAATCGAGGTGTTGGTGAGGCTGCGCTCCCCCGAAATCTCTGTCCCAGGCCTTCCCCAGCCTCGAGTGCCGGCAATCCTTGCGGTTCCCCACGTTGCAGAGACACCACTGCGGCCTCTACGGCCATCTTCACGTGCTGCCTCCCCTGTATGTGTCTGTGTCCAAATGTTCCCTTTCTAAAAGGACACCAGCCATACTGAGTTAGAGCCAACCCTACTCCAGTTAGGCACATGTTAACTAGCAACATCTGAAACAACGCTATTTCCAAATGAAGTCATATTCACAGATCTGGGGCTAGGACTTTAACACGTGGCTTTTGTGAGATACGACTCACCCCACAACACACATTGGGGAAGATACACCCGATTTCTGAGCACCGGAGAGGAGGCCTGCCTTGGGACCCAGAGACAGCCGTCGGTCACCCGCAGGCCCTGCGCAGGAGCGGGCGGGGCTGCACTGCAGGGCAGTGGGTGCTGGCCCCTCAGTGCGGGCCCCTCTGCACGCCCTCCCCCGAGAAGCACATCCTGGAGCTCACAGCTCCAGGATCCGAAGAAAAGACTTCCCGCGTCCTAACCGCCTCCGATGGCGGCGTTCTCAGCAAGCGGCTTCCACAGCATTCCACAGAGGTGAGAGACGAGAGACGCCTCGATGTGACTCTTCAATCAAAAGCAGAACCGGCTGGGGGCGGGGGACGTCTCCAACATCGCTGACACGTTTAGAACAGAGAAGCCCAGAGTCGTGGGCTCAGGCTGAGTCCAGAGCAGCAGCACCCACGTTGGGCCCTGGCCCAGGAGCCCGGCAGCACCTTCCAAGCTGGAGGGAACAGCCCTTCCCTTTTCTTTATGGGGAAGCAAACCGAGAAGCCGAGCAGCGCGCGGTTTGCGCTCTCTCTTCTGTCGATGACGGGGTTCCATTTGAACTGTGCAGGGGTGCCATGTAGCATTTCGGCGTCCCTGGGACCAGGCTTGTTAAATGGGACTCTCCCTGCGGTTCTAGGGGAGAAGTTGCACCTCTGAGCCGCTCTGCGGGGGATGTTGACCCACCTCTGCCTCTCTGGGAGGGCGCAGAGAACAAGGCCCCTGGGCCGGGGAGCCCCACCCTGCACCCAGGCACCCATGGCTAACGAGCCTGAAGTGCTGAGCCACCCCCACCCACACACAGCCCCCTGGCAGGGCCTCGGGACCCTGGTCTGCGTGCCCCAGACCTCTCTTTCCTCTCGGGAGCAGCAGAGAGTGGATGGCAGGCAGGCGGTTGGCAGGCATACAGACACCCTCAGAGAGGCTGCGCTCCCCAGAGACACACAGCTGGGGGTTTCTCTGGTCTTTTCCCCCTCACGAGGGCAGAGGTCCAGTTGCCTGCTCGAATTTAGGGCACAGGGTGGATGGCGCTTGCCGGCTGACCCCAGGCAGGGGAGGGCTGCAGAAACGCGGGTGGCATCAGAGGGCACTGGGGGTCTGTAATCTCCACTTCGTCCCAAACAAATGGACTTGACCAATGGACTGAGCTCTAGGGGAGCGAAAGCTGAGAGCCCAGGAGATGAAAGCAAAAATACGCCCCAAACAGAATGCAAAGAAAAGGCACCATGTCAGCTGCTCTGTCAGCTGGAGGATGCTGGTTCCCATGGCAACAGGGCGCAGAGGGAGCAGGCGGGGTCGCCTGGCGAGGTGGGGAGGCCCTGGCATGAGTTGCCAGGCACCCAGCGGGCGCCCTGTGCTGGGATTGTCAAGGGAGCAGCTGGGTTCCGGGAGTCGGGCCGGCCTGCTTGGTGAGAGCACCCACAGCCCTCCTGGGAAATGCACACAACTGACCTGGACGGCACGTGTGTGGATGTTTGTACAAAAGGGGTTAAAAAGCAGAAGAGATACCGGTGACACTGTCTATTGGGCGCACAGACCAAGTTCCTCAGCGCTCAGAAATGTGTACAGCGCGTTTCTCCTTCACAGGCTACAATGGAAATGGTTTGGTGGCACCTTCCACTGGTTCCTTCTGTGACTGTTATTAAAGCCCCTCCACAGCCAGCTGTCACGGGCAGCTTGGGTGATTTCCGTAAGCGTCAGGCTGAGGGGAGGGGTAGCGGCACGCCAAGGCACAATGCTGAAGGCTCTTCTTTCAAAAAGAAATTGATGTAGGATTCTGAGTTTGCAAGCAGCATAGCCTCTGTGTAAAACCATCGGGCTATACTGCTGAGGGGCATGAATCACAAGGACAGCCGCCACCGTGCCCCCAGCTGAAGCCGGGGCACCGATTTCCCAGATGATTTTTGGTGTATAGGCATCTAGTTTTGAAAAAAGTAATAATTACTGTGTTGTAATCTTTTGTCAATTACAGCATTGTGAGTGCTAAATAGGTCAGCTTTTAACCCACATCCGGCTCACACAGGCTTCCAGAAGGCACAGGGCGGGCCCGCTGCCCACTCGCCTTGTCCCCTCGAACTTCGGTGAATATTTTGGCTCTCCTGTCCAGTACCTATTGTATGTATGCAGCGTTTCTTTTTCCCCTGTCATGCAAAATTCCCTCACTTCACATCATTTTCTTAATTGCCTCAAAGATCACATGACAATCCATCTTGCTGATGCACTGGTTTCAATTAGTTCCCACATGGGCCCATTTAGGTAGCTTCTCGTTTGCTTCAGTGTTTTTGCTACAACAGATAACTGCAGCAAGGAATACCTTTGTGCACAGAGCTGTTTGCTTGTGTCTAATTCCTCTCTTAAGATAAATTCCCCAGAGTAGATATACAGGCTTAAAGGATACGGGTTTCTTCATCGTTCTTATTATACAGTATTAAATGGCTCTCCCAGAAGGTGGAACTTTATTTACAAACTGCACGAGCCACCGCTGTGGCACGTTGGCGTGCTGGCCCCCTGCCTACCAGCCTGGGAATCTCAAACGAGAGTGTGCGGACACTCCCCCCGCCCCCTCGTGCTCCCCGTCAGCAGGAGGATGAAGAGCATTTTCATACCCAAGAAAGTTAAGGTCCCCAGGCGGGGCAGGGGCCACGGGGTGGCCAGATCTCCTGGGGCGGCCCTCCACGTCCAGCCCCTGCGTACGGCCCCACAGGCCGGCACCCTGTCCCCGATATCAGGGGTGACTTTCCACCCAGAACACACGTGGCCCCTTTTGTCCTGTTCTTATTTGGTGTGCCTGGACATTGCATAATGGAGAACACAGAGCCCAAGGGCAGATCCATCTGTCCACAGTATGTCACGGGAAAAACTGGACGCTCCCCAGAGGTCTATCTCAGGGCTGGACTGATGACACATAGTTTGGCCACATTCTGCGGTGCCAGAGAAGGACTTGGTTTTAACGAAGGTGGTCTCTGTGAAACAAACTCAATGAGTTTGTGATGTGTTAAGTGAATAAAACCAATTGCCAGCCCGGCCGGCGTAGCTTAGTTGGTTGGAGTGATGTCCCGTGCACCAAAAGGTTGCAGGTTCAACTCCTGGTCAGGGCACATGCCTAGGTTGCAGGTTCAGTCCCTGGTTAGGGCATGTGCTGGAGGCAACCAATTGATGTTTCTCTTTCTCTTCTCTCTCCCTCTCTCTCCCTCCATCCTTCCCTTCCCCCCCCACTCTTTTTATAACTTTTTAAAAATTAAATTAAATTTAAAATATTACTTGCCAAAGAGTACACTTGTACAATTCCATCTTTGTTTAAAACCACGAGGGCTGTCCAGGCATGCCCATGCCTAGGACAATCCGGGAGGACACCCCAAACAGCAGGAGGTACTGCCAGGGTGTGAGATGTAAGAGGAAAGAAGTGGGTGAAGTAGGGACTTAGATGCTTTTAAATTTTACTTTCCCTCCTTTCGTGTGTGAATTTTTTAGAACGAAGGGTTTTGCCAGGTTTTCAGAAGCTTGTCTGTGACAAAGGCGGCATGCTTCCCAGCCCCCAGCGTCATCCACGGAGGTCCCTGGGGGGTCCCTGGGGGCGGCAATGACACAGCACTGGCTTTATGGCTGTCCTCCCACAGCAGATGAGGCAGAAAGGGCTTGTGGGCTCTGCCTGTGGTTTGGTTTGGGCTGTTTGTTTGGTTTTGCTCTGAGGAGGTCCCCACTGTCCGCCGCCCATGTGAACGCCAGGACCAAAGCGACAGTGTCAGACTGACCTTTGCTTTCCCCCCTTAGGACCAGCTGTCCCTGCAAGTATAGTTTTCTGGATAACAACAGGAAGTTGACACCTCGCCGAGATGTCCCCCCTTACCCCAAGGTAAGGCGCAGTTCTGCCTCCGAAGGAGCCACATCTGCGTCCACAGCCCCAGGGCACAGGGCACAGGCCCAGGTCCTCAAGTTCTGCGTATTTGTCCCCCGCCCTGGCCCCAGGCTGCGGAACTGAACACACCTGTTATTCATTGGCAGAATGTTTTTCTCTTTGACATTTGTGTAGCCAAAGCGGTCCCAGAGCAGGAGGTAAGAACTAAGTTTTTAAGTAAATTTTTAAACATCTGCTTTATTGGATGTCCTGTCCCTGAACCAAACATTGTAATGAGAGGTTTTGCTTTCCTGTCACAGAAGCTTTCACAGCTACGAGAGACCCTGGGTCCTCGGAAAGCAGCAGCGCCCTGGGAACTGGGGAGGGGCATCTTCGAACAAGTACAAAAGAAGGGTCTCACAGTGGCGGCCCCCCGCCCCAGGGACAGTTCCTCCAGCTGATGAGGGAATGGCCGGCCAGGCTGATTTTCCACACCCACTAGAGCTAATACTCGGGCTTGGGCTCGCAGAGCTGGGATCCTGCAGGTCATACGAGCTCTGCAGAGACCCGAGCGTATTTCCTCTGTGAACACTGGACCCAAATCTCAAGTTCAGTCCCAGAGGGTCACAAGGCCCAGCCTAGGTCAAAACTAAAGGGTTTCAGTGTTTTGCTGCAGTTTCTCAAAAAAAATTTTTAAAAATCAAAACCTAGGAGAATACCATGACAGTTTTATGTCTAAACTTGCAGTTTCTGCTTCCTATGACGATTGAACCCCAGCTCTGGTGGCCCATAGAACCCACCTTGGCTCACAGCTCAACCAGGGACGGGCTTCCCTCCAAAAAGGAAACGCAAAGCAGCTTCTGAGCCATTATTTGAGTTTATACCAAGTAAATGTTTTCCCTTGACTTCACTTTACTGTATTGTTTTCAAGTCAAGTTTATTGAGACGTAACTTACGTGCAGCGAGTTCGTCTTCTGTAGGTGCAGAGTACTGTGAATTTTGACAAACTCGTGTAGTCACATAACGTCCACCACAATCAAGAGGTGGAGCGTTTCCACCTCCCCAGAATGCGCCCCCCATGCCCAGTGCTCGTGCCTCGGGCAGCCACCGATGGGACTCCTGTCCCTAGAGTTTGCCCCGTCCACAATTCTCACAGAATATAGCCTTCAAGTCTGTATGCAGGTGCCCCTGGCGGGGGACAGGAAAAGACATTCTCCGTCCACCAGAGGTAACGGGCTTTGCCCCAGCACTGAGGCTAATGCCGCCTCCTGTCCTTCCTAGTACCTGCTCTCCCCGGAGACCGTAGAGGCGCTGCGCAAGCCGACCTTCGACGTCTGGCTTTGGGAGCCCAATGAGGTGAGCAAAGGGCCTCGTGGGACCAGCATCCCCAGGACTTGAGGGGGCCTCCCTGGTACGCTTCCCCCATCGCTTTTCTCTTCTCTGCTCTTTTCTGTTTTTTCAGCTTGATTCTCCAGGTTTTAGTTAAACTCACTGTTGGTAAACTCAGGGAGACCCTGGAGACAGAACTCAGGAAGAGGGTGTCAGACAGAGGGGCAGGTGGTCAAGTGCAGGGGCCTCAAACCCTGGGGTCCTGGCCACAGGTGCTACCCGCCAGGGAGCATCTTTGCGGCATCGTCATGCGTCCCCGGTGGGCTGTCTGGGGTCCCCACAAACACCCTCGCAGCTGGCCAGCTGCTGCCCACAGACACCCCGCGCTGTGGAGAAGTAGCTCTTCAAGAACGGGCTTCTACAGGAGAGTCGTACTGGGAAAAAGTGTCTGCACAGGCGGCTGCGGCCCTGGACACGCGCATGTACAGGATCTGGGACGGTGAGGCATCTCTGGCCGTGAGATGTTTCTTGAAAATTTCCCTTTGCTGGGAAAGCACAAAAATAGAGATTTCCTTGGCTTGGTCTAGTTACCTACTAGATCAGTCATACCCCTCTCTTTCCGAACCTCAAGAACATAAAAAGTCCCTCGTCACAGACATCAGGCCACCAAACTCTGCAGTCTCCTTCCAGGTGACCAATAACAGAGAATCGCAGAAAAGCTGCCCCCAGCCGACTGCCCACAGGGACAAGAGGGGCAGCGATGACACCCCTGCAGGCCGCAGGCAGAGGGGCTTTGCACTGGGGTGTTCGCCAGCACCAGCCCGCTGCCCAGGGCGCTAAGACCCTCCTGAGGGAACTGCACTCACACCCAGCAAATGACACCTCGGCAGTGCCGACCCAAAACCCACAGATGCCATCTGCACCCACCCCCGGCTGCGCTGAGAGGCCCGGCCTGTGTCCAAGGGACTGCCCCATAGGAAACATCCACCCAGATGGCACGCGTGCTCCAAAACACCCAGCCACCAAGTGGCGCGCAGGGTGGGAGCATGGCTCTTAGGGAGCAGGAGGCATTTTAAGTGCCGGATCAGTGCCCCGTCACGAAGGGACCAGCTGTGAGAGGCCGCGCGGCCTAGAGAAACGAAAACGGTGTGAGGACCTCTGGTCTCAGTGGCTCCCACTGAGCAGGCGGCCCAGGATGGCCTGTCCCTGGGCAAGTGGACACAACAGCCTAGAACGTGCAGACCCCTGCTCCCAGCAGGTGGGCAAACCCCACTACTAGGACTGTCTAGAAAAATCACAGCCCCTGACGTCGTTCTGACTTCAGCCCACCAGGAGCAAGAGCAAAGCCTCGGCCGCCGAGGGCACAGCACCTGTGCGGGCACTCGCTGCCATTTCCGTGTCCGAGCTCAGGCCTACATGACCAGAGAGGGGACACGCCCTCACCTCGAGAGGGTGACAGATTCACACGTCTGTGATGGCAGGGCCGCATCCCTGCCCTCCAACACGCGGGGTGGATGTACACACCGGCCGCATGGACAGCAGCCCTGAGGGCAGGGGGTGGGGGCACCAGGCAGCTCCCTGCAGGTGGCCGGCCTCTGCGTGGCCACCTGCCAACCTGGGCTCCCACCTGCACATCTCAACGGCACTGAGAGACTGGTGAGGGTTCTGGTGCTTCCAGAGAGGACCCGGCTGCCTGCGGTGACAAACCAGAGATGCTCAAAAACAGGACCCTGGACCTCTGCAAACCTGGGGGCACAATGGATTTTGGACAATAGGCAGCAAAGATGAGCAACCAAGAGGGTCACACCTGAAAACACCTCACTTGGCCCCCTAACCAGCACCTGGCCACCCACAGAGCAGCTGGCACCCCGAGAAGGTAGAGCCCCCGTGGCAACGGTTCACCTCTCTCCCTTCAAGCAGGACCAGCACCCTGCCCAGCCTCGCCCGGGTCCAGCCCTGCACTCCCCCTTCATGGACCAGAGGTCCACGACTTCATGTGACTGCTGTCCCTGGCAAGCTGCTGGGAAGAGCAGCGTGCCCGCCTCTGCCGAGCACTGGGCTCCGAGGCTGGGCCCTGGTCAGCTTCTGAGTCCTCCACGCTCTCCATCATCCAGCCGTCCCACTGGGACGCGCCACGTGTCCCAGCTGCCGGCCTGGGGACAGATGCACGACCACGTCACTCCTGCTCCAGACCCGCCGCAGAAGTGGCACCAGGTGGTTTCGTCTGCTGATCATCTCCAACTCTGGACTCTGATTTTGCAACAGACATTTCGTTCGGCTCAATTTCACAGCGCGGCTGGAGCAGCGCCTGGGCTGGTGGGGCGGGGCGAGGGGTGGCGGCCGCAGCCCTCGGTCCTGAGGGCCTGCGCAGCTGTGCAGGCTCGGGGCAGCTGGCGGGTGAGACAGAGGCAGGGCACAGGTGGCAGCCCTGGGCAGAGGAGTGCTCGCTGGTGTCATGCGCTGCCCCCCAGGTGACATCTTAATTGTCCCTGCTTCGCAGATCTCTGTCTCCCTGGGCTCTCCATCCAAGACCTGCTATCCCAGAAAGCAAAGCTCACTTTGTCGAACTTTCATTTATTTAAAATAACTTAGTCTTAAAATAACTTTTTTTCCTTCATTTAATTAGCTCCAAAGCTCTGAGTGGTATTTAAATAGATTATGACAGTGACAATAAATCCCCTTTGTGACAGAAAACAAAACCTATTTCCACTTGAGCAGGGACTCATTTAGAAGACAGCCAGGGAAGTAAGGTTTGGGAGGAGGTCTACCCAGGAGGGGTTCACCTCCCAGACTCTGCCTTTAACACATTAAATAGTGACATGGGCCCCAGCGGGCCCCCAGGGGGCACAGTGGAGCGCATCTGGGCGGTAGGTCGTGGCAGCTCTTTCTCCCCTACCTCAGGCAAGGGAAGGGCCTTTCCTTGGGTGAGGCCTCGCCCTCAGGTCTGTGGTCGATGGAGCAGGTCCCAGACCCTCAAACTGTGATGCTGACCCACCGAGACTGTGTCTCCGGGGTGGAAAGAAGTAGAATCATTTCTGGTGCGGGCCTGCTGGCGTCGCTGCTCCGTCTCACCCAGTCGCTTGCCGTTGTTCCTACTTGCATACCATTCCGTTGACTTCTGAACGCCAACTGCTCTTTCAAACTTCCCATCTTTCTGGGGGATCCTGAGCCCCCCTCAGTCAGCAGGCTTCACTCTCAGGAGACTGGGGGCTGGGAGGGCTCACCCCGGGGATGGGCCTGGAGAAGCTGCCCAGCTCGCCCTGTGGGCCTCTCCCAGGATAGTGGGGGCCGGTGGCCCACGTGCTTTTGACCGCCTTTTTGCCGCCCTCCAACCCGGTGCCCACAGATGCTGAGCTGCTTGGAACACATGTACCACGACCTCAGCCTGGTCAGGGACTTCAGCATCAACCCCATCACACTCAAGAGGTGGCTGGTAAGTGGCAGCCCCTTCCAGTTCCTCTTGAACGTAGTTTCATCGAGTTACACGGGAGTTACCATTGGGCACCTTCCTGATGGCACCGGGCGTCCTTGAGAGTTCTGCCAGGACATTTGGCCAGTCTGTATGTCCCACGGCACACTCTACCCCTGAGCCCCCGCTCCCGTGAGCGAGAAAACGGTGAGGACCCAGAGCAGAAAAGTGCAGCAGCGTGTGCTAAAGCAGGACATGCATAAGCGTATGCAAATGTGTATGTGTGTTTGTGGGGAAAGTGCACGTGTGAGCATGTGCATCAGTATGTGTGAGCGTGTTATGAGTACCTGTAGGTACTCATACCTATGAGTATGTGAGAACATGAGTGTGTGTGTGTGTGTGCATGTGTGAGCACAAGCCTGTGGAAAGGTGTACGTTTATGAGTATGTGCATGTGTGTGTGTGTGTGTGAATGTGCATGTGTACACATATGAATGTGTGAGTGTGTGCATGTATGAGCCTGTGTTTAGCAGCAGACCTTTTTGAAAATAAAATATTACTGAGAACCGAATATTAAAGACCTGTTAAAGGTCTCATGGTGACTGGGGATCCAAGGCCCTCGTGTGACCCCTCCAGCTCAGCCCTCAGCCTCCTGTCCCAGTGCGGCTCCTCGGATACCCTCCGAAACGCTGGAGGCCACGGGCCCCGGGTGAAAGCCTGGAGAGGCCCGCGCCCGTCCCCGCCTCTGCGGCCGCCCCGTCCCTGCCCTCAGTAAGCGCAGGAGCACTGCTGGCCTCAGGGGCAGGCACGGGGTGGGCAGGGAGCGTCCAAAACAGCAGGCGCGGGGCCTTGGAGAGGAGGATGGGCGGCAGCCGCAGGGTGGTCAGCACCCTCTCGTCTCCCAGCTCTACGTGCACGACAACTACAGGAACAACCCTTTCCACAACTTCCGGCACTGCTTCTGCGTGGCCCAGATGATGTACAGCATGATCTGGCTCTGCGGGCTCCAGGTGGGTCTCAAGGGGAGCCCCAGAACTTCCAGGGGGCAGCAGCACTCCGCTCAGGGAGACGGCCCCCCACCCTCCCAGGGAAACCCCCCAGCCCGTCCATGTCAGCGCCTCCTAGGCGAGGCTCCTCTGATACAGTGAGCAAGTGGACCCTCCTCCCCCCACCCCAGAAAGTGGGCGGGTCCTCTCCCACCAGGCCAGGGGCTGGAGGGGGCTTCATCCTGCCCATTTCACTCATTTCCCGCCCCATTCCACCGCCACCTCACCCCATGCCGCCTCTCTAACCCAGGAGAAGTTTTCCCAGATGGATATCTTGATCCTAATGACCGCAGCCATCTGCCACGATTTGGACCATCCGGGATACAACAACACGTACGTGCACAATGACTTTTGAGGGTACTTGGTTCAGTGTGATACTCAGACCAGTCCCATGTCAGAGCTGTCAGTGGGGGTCCCCATAGGACATAGCTCCCCATTGTGGGATTGTGCCCATGGCCTTGGGCCACCATGGGGCAGGACCCTTCAAGGTTACAGAACCCTAAGAGGATGCCACACCCATGTGCGGTCCTGGCTCCAGACTGTGCCTCCACACAAGCCTAGAGCCCTCCCAATACTGGAAGCTCCCTCCCCCTGGAGGCGGGCCTCACGCCCCCGTGTGGACCAGAAGGCGAGCAGCCCACCATTCCTCATTGTCTGGATCTCACTCCCACACAGCAGCCTCCGCAGCGTGTTTCCAGGAGGGACGAGGCCGAGGACTAGGACTGGGCGGGTGGAGTTCAGATGAGTAGGCGGGCAGCGGGAGCTTTGCTGAAACATTGATCCATTCCCACCTGGGGGGCAGGGGGCGGGGCAGGCGAAGGCACAGAGCTTCCGCTACCTGACTGCTGAAACACAGAGTGCATGGCGTTGGTTTGCATTCACAGGACACATTGCTTATTTCTATCAAATGTGTGCATTTGGGTATCGAGTTTATTGTGTGCACGATGACCCCAAATATGCCCAAGAACCTTGCCACTATCTGTCAGGACCAGAGTGGACTCCAAGGTGCGGAAGCCTGTGGGCCTCCACTCCCCCGCTGCCCATTCTCGGTGATGGGCCAGCACAGGGCCTGCACCCCAGCATCTTCTTGGTCTCCCAAACGTCTTTGCACATACTGAAATGTTTTTCAAGGTGCAGTGATAAAAGACCTGGTCACCTTCAGGGCACCGCAGCAGGGAGAAATGGAGATTTCTGGGGGTTGTCCACCTGGTGGGACCCTAAAACCTTGCGATTGTCTCGTTAAAGGGACAGCAGGGAGCCAGGGGAGCCAGGAGAAGTGGGGTCCTGGCACGGGCAGAGTGCAGCTGCCTTCCAGCCCTACGGGCACCACTCAGACACGTCAGCGTGTGGCCCCAACTCACAGGTGCCTGCGAGTGCCGGCTCCTGAGGCCCCTCCCTCCCAACCCCCACTCCAGGTACCAGATCAATGCCCGCACGGAGCTGGCCGTCCGCTACAATGACATCTCGCCCCTGGAGAACCACCACTGCGCCGTGGCCTTCCAGATCCTCGCTCAGCCCGAATGCAACATCTTCTCCAACGTGCAGCCAGACGGGTTCAAGCAGATCAGACAGGTGCGTGGGGAGAGCACTCAACTGCAGATAAAGGGGGACCTGGGGGGAAACAGCAAACGTGGCCACAGGAGAATGCCCTCTCCAGTGGCCAAGGCTCCCGGTCACAGCTGTGCCCACCAGGGATCCTGGGGAACCAGCCCTCCTTCCCACTGCCTCCAAGGCCACGCAGCACCCCAGCAAGAGGTGCACGGCCCAGGCACGTGCACATGGGATTCCACCAACAGCACGTCACAGCCACTCTTGAACTCACCCTTTGAGATCAGCCCTTCCATCATCATAGCCGGGGAAGCGACGCTTGCAGACCTTGGGTAACTTGCCCAGGGAGCACAATGAGTACATGGCAGGCCCTAGACAGACACGCCCGCCGCATCCAAACTGTCAGAGCCCTGACCACTGTCCCCTAGCTCCTGACTGCTCTCCCTGGCCACCCCGTGACCCCGTCAGCCCTGCTGCCCTCACCACATGAGAGACCTTAACCATTTCTCAGGGCACTTTGGGAGGAAGGTAAGAGCGCCATCTGACCTGAGGCAGACACTGCCAGCTCACCGCAAATAGCACCACCTTCACACAGAAGATCCCACAGAACCCAACTCTGCACTCTGCCCTCTGGCATTTGCAGGAGAAGGAAGACAGCAGGGTGATCTCTTGGAGGAATATAGTGGGTTGAATGGTAGACAATCCCCTGCCAAAAAAAAAAAAACAGTGTGTCTACCTTCTGACCCTCCAACCTTGTGAATGGAACCTTATTTGGAAAAAGCGTCTTCACAGTTGTAATTAAGTTAGAATCTCTAGATAAAACTAGCTTGGACTATCTCATTGGGCCCCAAATTCAATGATAAGTGTCTCTAGAAGAGACAGAAGAGGAAGAGACAGGCATGGACAACAAGGCCATGAGATGACAAAGGCACTGGTGCTGTGGCCACAAGCCAAGGAATGCTGGAGGCAGCAGAGCTGGAAGCGGGAAGGGCCCCCCCCTTGAACTCTCAGAAGGAGTAGGGCCAGGCTGACGCCTTAATTGCAGACTTCCGGCTCCCACAACCCTGAGAGAGCACTTTTCTGTTCTTCTAAGTCACCAGGCTGTGTGCATGGCAGTCTCAGGACACTCATACAGGAGCCATCGCCAGTGTGGGCAGGAGCTGCGCTCCAACCTTCCGTGGACGAAAACCTCACCCATCTGATGTCACCATGGCCTTGCTTGAAAAGGCACCTGACAAACAGTCTAGAATCCAGTGCTGGGAAAACACCTCCCTTCTGGAGAGTTGATAAAGCTTCACTCTATCAGAAAACAGCTTTGTAAACCATTGTTCTCCACTTGTCCCCTCTTCCAGGAACTTCAGAACTAAATACAGTGCTTAATCACTGTTGTCATTGAATCACTGGTTCCTGGTGCAATTCTCTCCTTATCTCCAGACGTTCTGGCCTCTCTCCTGTGTTTACGGAGCCACCCAACACGCCCTAGGGTGTTCTGATAAGCCCTGGGGAAACGGACAAATCCTAAAGACCACGTTGCCTTGGCTGCTGCCCCTGAAGGCCACCCAGAGACCTGGAATACAAACAACCTGGAGAAGCAAAGCCCCTGAGACTCAGCATCGGCACCCCCCACACCCGGGAAGGAGGTGCCTGACTGGAGGAGCAGCTCGTTACCCCGCAGCCGGGATCTTCCCCCGGCTTTCCCCCGTGGGGACACAGGGTTGTCCTGCCTCAAAACACTTTACTGATGTTCACACGAGACTTTTTCCGAGAGTAAAATCAGTTGTCCCAATTTTTTAAATTATATTTTATTGATTATGCTATCACAGTTATTCCCATCTTTCCCCCTTTGCCCCCCTCCACCCTGCACCCCCCACTCCCTCAGGCAACCCCCACACCTCATTCACGTTGATGAGTCACACGTGTAAGTTCTTTGGCTACTCCATTTCCTGTACTGTGCTTGACATCCGCATGGCTATTCTGTGACTACCAATTTGTATTTCTTAATCCCTTCACTTATTCACCAGTTCCCCCACACCCCCGTTCCATCTAGCAACCATCAAAATGCTCTCTGTATCCATGATTCTGTCTCTGTTCTCGTTTACTTAGTTTGTTTTTTAGATTCAATTGTTGAGAGAGATGTATTTATTGCCATTTTATTGTTCACAGTTTTGAGCTTCTTAAATAAGTCCCTTTAACAGTTCATATAATGGTTTGATGACAATGAACTCCTTTAGTTTTTTTCTTGTCTGGAAAGCTCTTTATCTGCCCTTCAATTCTAAATGATAGCTTTGCTGGGTAGAGTAATCTTGGCTGTAGGTCCCCACTTTTCATGACTTCAAATACTTCTTGCCAATCCCTTCTAGCCTGCAAAGTGTCTTGAGAAATCAGCTGACCGTTTTATGGGAATTCCCCTGTAGCTAGCTAACTGCTTTTCTCTTGCTGCTTTTAAGATTCTCTCTTTATCTTTAACCTTTGGCATTTTAATGATTATGTGTCTTGACATAGGCCTCTTTACATGCACCTTGTTTGGGACTCTGTGTACTTCCTGGACTTGCATGTCTATTTCCTTCACCAAGTAAGGGAAGTTTTCTTTCATTATTTTTTCAAATAGATTTCCAATTTCTTGCACTTTTTCTTCTCCTTCTGGCGCCCCTATGATGCTAATGTTGGACCATGCTACCAAGACAAGGAGTCATAGCAGCTCTATTTAATACATAGGAAGAAACACAGGGAGGCTGCCAAAATGAGGAGACAAACATGGCCCAAATTAAAGAACAGATCAAAACTCCAGAAAAAGAACTGAACAAAATGGAAATAAGCAATCTATCAGATGCAAAGTTCAAAACACTGGCTAAAAGGATGCTCAAGGAACTTAATAAGAACCTCAGCAGCATAAAAAAGGTCCAGTCAGAAATGAAGGATTCACTAATTGAAATAAAGAACAATGTACAGGGAATCAACAGTAAAGTGGAAGAAGCCAAGAATCAAATCAATGATTTGGCACATAAGGAAGCACTCAGAACAAGAAGAAAAAAGAATCCCAAAAAACAAGGCTCGTATAAGCAGCCTCTGCAACAACTTCAAGCGTCCCAATTTTTAACAATATTTTGTCATGGAATATTTTGAGGGCTAATTCCTCATGGGCAGAGATCCTTCACTTTTACACAGTTGCACCATTCAAAATGCCCGTGATGACCCCCTACCCCAAAATACGCTGGGGGTGACCTGTATTAGCTGATTTGAGTTCTGTATTTGATGCTTGTGGCTTTATTTGCTCGAAAAAGCAGCACACCATACTCAGGACAGAGGTGTGTTTGTAAATGTTTGCGGGATAAGTGGGTGGGCGGGTGGGTGGATAGAGAGACCAACAGACGGACAAATTAGATGGATAAATGGATGGGTGGATGAGTGGACTGGACGGATGGATGGTCAGACGGTCATGGTTTTGAGTTATGTCACTTTTAAACCAATATTTGATTAACAAAGTAATGAAATTTTTACATTTAAAACTCATCGCATTCTTCATATACAAATTTATAAATAGAAGAATGCCGTCATCCCCAAGCAACAGATGCCCATATAATCACACACAGACCAGGTAATAGGAAAAAAATACTGTTGGAAAATCGGTCATTGGCCTTCCCCAAGACCTGAAAGGGACACACCATATGTCCAGGTTACTAAAGCGAGGGGAAGCATCTGTCCTTGGCTCAGCCGGCCATCCACAAGTAAATCCCCCCGGGAGGCTGGAGTGCAGCTGCGGTTCCTTCATGGGCACAGCCTGGCAAGCGTCAGCCTCCCACCTGAGTTTGGATCCAGCCCTCTCCTCTCCCGCTGTGGGCTGGGCAGCTCCCTCGGCCGCCTCAAGTCTCCGTTTCTGTATCTAAAAACGAGGGCAGTGATTCTCAGACACACACATGGAGTTGGCATGAGCACCGGACGACATGGCGTGTGCAGAGGGCTCGTGCCAGCCGGCGCTCACCGGGAAATCGTTGGGATGGCGCCCAGAGTTCATGCTTTGCTCTCTCACTGCTCAGGGGATGATCACATTAATCCTCGCCACTGACATGGCACGGCACGCAGAGATCATGGATTCCTTCAAAGAAAAAATGGAGAATTTTGACTACAGCAACGAGGAGCACATGACCCTTGTAAGTAGGCTTGTTTTACTCTTGGGGGAGGGGCGCCGGTGCACGAGTCCTGCCCTCCAGCTCAGACTGGAAACCAAGAAACCAAAATTCTTGACCCTGTCTCTGAGTGAGGTGTCAGTAGAGTCCGCCCTCCAGCCAGGGAAAGCCGCCTGGCCGGGCCCCTCTCCTGTCCTTCGTGGCTAACGGCAGCGGTGTCTCATCCCCCATCTCGGTCTGATTTGAAGATAATGAGCAGGTGAAGGCAATCCATCTGGCTTTGGTTTCCTGAGGATAAAGTTGGCTCTCCCACAGAGGCACAGCCCCAAAAAACACGCTGGATACCAGCCCCTTGGAGGGCAACTTGGGGACCCAGTGGCCCAGGCCTGAGGCCTTGTTTCTGCCCCCTCCGGCATGGCCTGGCCCCCAAGCCTGGCGTCGAGGGCCGTGTCCCCTGAGCTGCAGCCTGACCACTCACACAGGAGACAAGAAGAGTCTGGCTCGGCTCCCGGGAAGCGACAGGTCAGGGTGATGAGGGAAGGCCTGGAAGGCAGTGCCCACCTCGAGGTTCAGCTGACGTTGTGCCAGACGGTGAGCTGAATGCAGCCGTCCTTGGCCAAGTCACGTTCCCCAGGCCCCCACCCTAGAAGGCCAGCCCAGACAGACTTGAGGCGCACAACCCGCGTGGTCCTTCATACCAAGTCAGCCTCAGACCCTGAGTGGCAGCCAACACTTGTGCCTCAGACACTGGCAATTCCAGGTGACGGTCACTTGGGCCTAGAACCAGTCATTTGGGCCACAGCCAGTCCCACGGGCACTCACCAGGCTCGTACAGGTGTGAACGCTCTGGCTGAATCCTTTGGCCTGACAAGCCTCCATCTGAAGGACCCGCTGCCCGCCCAAACCTCGCCAGGCTTGGAGGACCAGAAATGCGCCCAGCAGGGGAAGCACACAGACGGGATGTGGCTGGGCACGGGGCTGTGCTGCGGGGGCACCCCTGGGGGCTGGGTTGCCCGGGGAGACTGGAGAGGGGCCAGAGCAGCCTGGGAGGGCGCAGTGGGGAAGAGGGGGCTTCGGCAGGGTGGCGGCTTGGGCCAGGATCCACGGGCCGAGAGGCCCAGCCAGCACAGGGAAGACGCCAGGCTTGGGAGCAGAGGGCAGACGCTAGGGCCACCGCTGACTTGTGAGCGATTTTTCCAACTCGGGGCTGGAGGGGGCAGGAGGAATCGAGTCCCCCCGGGTGTGGGGTCCGCAGGCAGTGCTGCAGTTGTCACTCGTGTCGGGGGGATTGGGGTGCCGAGGCCATGCCCTCCCTGTTTTTACATGAGGGTCCCCTTCAGCCTATGTTTCTAATGTGCCACTTTGTCATCCGGGGGCCCAACGCTATCTTTTATTACCCTTTTAACCTCTGCTTCCTTATGTCAAACGAACTCAGAATCTGGAAGCTTTGGCTAGAAATAAATAATCAAGATTTATTCAAAGGTCCTAGGGCTCGCAACCCAGAAACACAGCTGGGCAGAAACCCACAAGCACCCTGAAGGAGAAGGAAAAGCTAAGAGTTCTTAAGGCAAAAAGTACATTCTTGCAAAGATCAGTTCTGCATCCTTCGCCCTAGGATTGGTCCAGCATGGTTGTCAGTCAGACGCGAGGAGGTCTGGTCACGACCAGTGGTCTGGATACGTGAACATTCTTTCCTTGGTCCTTCAGAGGTAATCAGAGGGCTACCTGGAGGTGAGACGTATGTCCAGGCATTGACACAGGACTGGGGCGTTCAGGTGTGAGTTCCCAAGCTGGTTAGAAAAAAGCATGGAATCATCTGCTCACGCCATAGGCAACGTGATCATAGTAATATAGCAGCTTGACGGCAGTGGCTGCGTTATTCATCACGAACAATGCCTCTCTACACTCTTTGTGTATTTTCAATAATCAAGAAGACGCTGTTGAACTTTACAATGCACATTCATGGGACAGAACGTCCTTGGATTAAATGCGATGTTTTCTCCCTCAAGAGCCCTCCAGGAAAACATTCTGAGCCTTTGGAGGTGCAGTGACCCCCATTCACCCCCGTTGGGCTGAAGGTCTAGAGGCAGACCTCCAGGGCACCCACCACAGGTGACCTGGCCAAGCCTGGGAGGCGGCAGCAAAGCTCAGCCCCCGTGGCCAGCACCGCCCACCGCCCCTCCTCTCCCAGGCGGCCAGTCCCGCCCGAGCAGCGATGGGCCCTGGTCCGTGCACCATCGCCTGATGCCACATCTCTTCTTCCAGCTGAAGATGATTTTGATAAAATGCTGTGATATCTCTAACGAGGTGCGGCCGATGGAAGTTGCAGAGCCTTGGGTGGACTGCTTATTAGAAGAGTATTTTATGCAGGTGAGAGTATTTTACGTGAACGTTTTATGTACAGCAGTCAAGCCTCCTGTCACTCTTGTTAGCCCCTTAGCCAAGGTCCATGTGTGAACATGACAGACATGCCCCAGTGGACTCACAGATGGAGTGGCGGAGATTCCTCCAGCCTCCAGAAAGCCTTCACAGCAGGCGCACGCCCAAAATGAAAGAGGTTGTAATTTGAGACGTGAAAGACAGCAGAAACCTGGAAAAGCCAAAGTTGTAAAACCACCACCTCTTACCACTAACCAAGCTGCTCTTAGAGGTGGATGCGTCAGACTAGCAGCCCGAAGGTCAAGGAGAACTGCAGAGGCAGGGGGGTCCCCACGGGCGTCGGGGGAAGCGCTGGCACAGAAGGCCAGGCCGGCCCAACCCGGAAAATGCCAGAAAGGATAATAAGCTGTGACTACAACAGCTTGAGGAATCCCAAGGGGACACAGAACGGGGGGGTCTGCAAGCTGTGTCTGCCACTGGGCGTCCTTGTGACCACTTGATTAGCCTCTGCCTGTCCCCTTCCCACGATGCATGGCCCTGCATACCTAGCGAACACCTTATTAGCACTCAGAATGTTACCGTTTGTTCTAATGATTGGTCATTGTTATTGCCAAGTTACACAGAGTGGCTTGGTTCTGGGCTATAGTAGCCCATTTTTCTCTTCCCCGAACAACAGTGCCCCTCAAAGTACCCCGGCCTCCATAGATGTTTCTTTATTTAATGTTTCTGTCTGCTGCCCTCCCCAGAGCGACCGCGAGAAGTCAGAAGGCCTTCCCGTGGCCCCTTTCATGGACCGGGACAAAGTGACCAAAGCCACAGCCCAAATAGGGTTCATCAAGTTTGTCTTGATCCCAATGTTTGAGACAGTGGCCAAGGTGAGTGACCATCACCACATGCTGGATGACGTGACAGTGAAAATCACACTAATGCACAGCCACGCACACACTGTACACACCCACAAACACACTGTGCACAAGATATACACATGCTGTGCACAGTCTTGCACACACATGCTGTGGGCCACAGCCGGCCAGCGGCGCTAGTGCCTGCTGCCCCGATGCGCCAGCGGGCCCTGCCCTCCCCTGCAGCGGGGGCAGAGGTACGGCTGCAGAAGCACGTGAAGTGTTCCAGGCAGAGAGCTGTGCGCCCCGGGCTGCAGGGCTGGGCGGGCTCCAAGTGGGGAGGGGCCCTCCTGAGCTGAGCCTCGGAGACTACGGACCGGCTAGCAGGAGGACAGACGGGAGGTCAGAGCCCCTCTGTCCAGCTGGAGGGCAGGCAGAGCCAAGTCCGCTCTGGGCTCTGGGGCTCTGAGGGGCCTCGTGGGTGAGGTTGGCGCTTGTAGGGTGGGGGAGTGCGCTGTGGCCACCGCAGCGTGGACAGTCGGGGTGGGGGGACATGGGAGGCAGAGGGAAAGGACTGGCTTCTGCCGGGTCCCCATGACCAGCAGGAGACAGCGGGGACCCTGGAGATAGGTAGGCAGGTGGCAGGCGCGAGGGGCTCCAGGAGCCGTTGAGCGAATGGCATCAGGACCTCCTTGGTCACCTTGGTTTCCATAGCGGGCGGCACCCCTTGGCTGGAGGCCAATTTCCTTTTCAATCCGTTGAGATACAGGACCTGCCACCTGTTTTTCCCCAAACGTTTCCTTTCGCTGCAATGGTGGGCGGTTGACCGAGCCTGTGTCCCCCTCCAGCTCTTCCCAGCAGTTGAGGAAAGCATGCTGCAGCCCCTGTGGGAATCCAGAGACCGATACGAGGAGCTGAAGCAGATGGACGACGCCGGGACAGAGGTGAGCACGGCCCTCCTCAGGCCTCAGGGCTCTGCCCACACCGCTGGCGCCACTGCGGCAGCCCCTTGGGCGGCGTTCATTCCCACCCGAGGGAAAGCCACAGCAGTCCAGTCAGGGAGCAGGGCTGCCCGCCCGGCTCGCGACCGAGTGTCAGCGTCCGCAGCACCTCCATCCCCCCAGGGCAGCACCCAGCCCCGCGTTCTCCTGCCCCGGGGCTGACCTCGGTCAGTGAGAGGGCGGTGGAAAGAGACGCCCAGCCCCCCTGGCGAGGGAAGAGCCGCCACCCGTGTCCCAGCCCAGGCCATGGACTCACACGCGCAGCGCGACCCTTCCCGGGGCTCAGGGAGACAGACCAGGCGCGGCTGGAGGGTCACCCCTACAGCCCCCTGGCGATTGGTATGGTTCGTGGGCTCAGAGCGGGCGCAGAGGCTTTCCACAAAGCCTGCGAGCTGGTCTGTGCAGATCTCTGCGCCAGGGCCCCCTGCCTCTTGGGACCCGCCAAGGACCTCCCTGTCTGACCTCTAGCTCCCCAGGTATGGCCTCCCCTTTCCAGGGGCCCTGGTGCAGCCTGAAACCCTCTTGTGCCTCATGCTTTGGCCCCGTCTGGCCTTGGCTGGCCTCACCCCACCCCACGCCAGCAGCGGCCCCCGCCTGCACCATCTCTTCTTCACTTGCTCACTCCAACCAGGGCTCCCCCGTTACGGTGTCCCCAGCTGCCATTGCCACTCCGCTGAGGCCTGTCCGGTGTTGCTCTCATCTCTCTCAACCCACTTGGTGCAATGCTGGACATACTGAAGGTGCTCAGTAAACACTTAGGAGCCCACTGGCCATCAGACCAGCCACTTCGACCCCTCTAGTTAGATTCTAGCAGAAGGTCGCAGACAGGACCTGAAATGCTAAAACCTTAAGAGCAAACGATACAGGCAACAGGCGCAAGGAGAGGCGTCCCCCAGCCCGGGCCCCCTGCAGGGGAGCTATGGGGCCCCGACTCTCCTGGGCTGTCCCCGAGCTGTCTGGAAGAGGCCTCGCGTCTCCAAGTCCCAGTCCCGGCCACCCAGAGGGAGCCCGTGGGGCCCTCCCAGGCACCTTTTGGGCCCAGAAGGGACAGGCCCAAAACGGAGGTAGGAGGGCCGTGGACTCCGCCTGTCCCCGGGGCTGTGTATGCTGTGAGCCCCTCATCCAGGCGCCGGCAGGGACCGCGCTGGGTGAGACCTCCCACTGCAGGGAAGGCGGCTGGTGTGCAGAGCGGCACCTGAGCAGCTCCCACGTGTGCTCTGGCACAACGAGGTTGTAGACGTTGGTCTCAGTTTCACGTTTTAGCCCCTTCAGCCAACAGGGAGCTCGTGAGCAGACGACAGTCACTCAGGGTCCCGGAGCCTGACTTTTGCCTTCTTTGTGCTCTGTCCTGGTTACAGAAGACCGAGAGCCTGACAGGTGGGGGCCCTGACACGTCGAGGGAGAAAAGCGGAAATGTGAAAAAAAGTGAAGGTGATGCCCTTCCGCGCGGGTTGCTCAGTAGTTCCCACGAACACGGAGGCGGGGTTGGAACACGGAGGGGAGGGAGGAACTCTGAATACCAAATATTTTTAAATAAGTGACACTTTTTTCCTTGTTTATAATAATTAGAATCAGGCTCTGAAGGAAGGGGCATGCTTTAGTTAATAGAGAAAGGTTAACGATTAGCATGTGTACCACTTCTAAAGGAAAACACTTCCTTAGAGCTTTTCACGAAGAAAGCGTTAGCCAGCATGCTGCGGTCGTGACCCCGTGCACTTGTCATTTGCCGTTCAGCTCAGCCCATGCGGAAGGCACACCTGCCCATTCTGCCGAAGAATAAGGTTACACCACATGTGTGTCTAAGGGGCCATTTGAGAGACTCTCACTTTATAAAGCATTCAGGGTGCCGGGCGTGAGAGCCTGGGTCTGGTTTTGTAAGGGGAGCGGAGGCCCCAGTAGCTGACAAACCAGGCTGTGGGGCCAGGCTTTGCTAATTACAAGCTAAGTGACGTGCACAGGCCCCTCAAACTCTCTGAGCCTCAGAACCCGAGTCTCAGATAAAGGTAATCACCCCCTCACTGCTGTTGAGTCAGCAACTCACCGAGCAGAGCGCTGGGGCCTAAGAAGCACACAGTGAATGCTGGCTTCCAGTTTTGAAGTCAGTTCCTAGTTTTGAATGGCTCGGAAAAGGGATCAGTATTGTTTTATTTTGCCTAAACATGTTCAGCAATATGTCCGGTGGCCTCATTTCTCAAACGTAGTCTGTGTCTAATCCTATGCCATGTGCATCATCACCTGCACATTTTAGTCCCAACAAAAACAAACCCGTAGCCGCTTCCCCTCCCGAGCAGACCGTGCCTGACGGAAGCAGGAGCGCCCGCGGGTGTTCGGGGCCCGGCCGCCCGACCGAGAGTCTGTCGCCCCGGGAAGAGCGGATCCTCGCCACCTGACACCGCACGACCACGTTTTCTAAGAACCACTTTGTTCACTGATACCAAAAAAAAAAAAAAAAAAAAAAGGAATTCATGATGCTGTACAGAATTTTTATTTTTAAACTGCCTTTTAAATAATATATTCTTATACAGAAACGGGTACTGTACTTTTTCTTTGGTGGAGTAGCGTGTCCGATAAACCATGGAAACCCTCTCTCGCTCTTGCGTGGAGACAAGGATGCTGTGCTTTTTCACACATGTAGCCAGACCACGTGCCCCGTATGATGTGATGCGTACCTCCGTGTAAATTCCGCATTAAACGTCAGACCGCTGCCCGGAGCTCAAGGCGCGTGTGTGTCCTGTGTTTGTGAGCTGCGAGGGGGCGCTGTGCGGGGAGGTGGAGACCGGAGGCAGCTGGTCACACTGTAGGCAAAACAAAGACCACGCAGGACACAAACATACCACACCCATTTCCCGAGAGGTGGGAATTGAATGTTTCACACACAGGTAAGAAAAGGAGCTCCATTGACTCAGCACATTTGAGGGTGTCTTTTGCAAGGGGGAAGCTATCCTTTTCTTCCTGCCTTTGTTTTGGGGACAGGCATCAGGGGCTTTCTGGCTGGCACTGAGTCCACAAAGGGAGGCCCAACCCCGGCTTGTCTGGCCACACGCACCTTCTGAGCCCCTTACTCAGAGCCCCCTCATCCCCTGCCTGCGTTTAGACACCTCAGTGTCTCCCAGGGTTGTGGGTTCCACCTGTAGCCCCCTCCAGGGACAGAATAACCTGCCAAAGACCCTCCACTCTAAGAACTGGCCTTTAAAGGCCATCTGCACGCATGATCCAGTTGGTTCCGTTTTCTCGGAGCATTCACGCCCTCTTGGTGAATTCCAGAATATTGCTCCCCTTCTTTGCAGAATTCATTTTTGAGCTGAGAGATTTTCCATCTCTTCTAAGAGCTGCATTACCCAAACCTTCACACCCATAAGTAGGAGAAAACCCTCTCCCAGGTCGTGCGCCTGCTTTTTAAAAAAAAAAAAAAACACATGGAGTCCTCCGGCTCACGCTAAATGATAACATGCCTGGCCCCTTGCCCTCCCGCCCTTCCCTCCTCCCCCTGGTCCTTAAATGTGCTTGGTGGCCCCTCTGGGGCAGGCGCCTTGCGGGCCGCACCCTCAAAGCTCAGGGCCAGGCCGGCAGGAAAACCAGCGAATAAAGGATTGTTATGAAGCTCTGTGCTCCTGCCTTGCTTGCGGTCACCCAGGACAGCTGGGAACCTGCAGCGAGAGCCTCTGGGCAGCTCCAGAGTCACCTTTGAGAGACCGGTGGGCATCAGGAGGAGGAGAAGAAGGAGGGAGGGCCCTCCAGGGGGCTGGGACCACAACCCCTGTGCACAGGCCCGCTTTCTGGAGGAGCCGGCCCTGGGTCCTGTTGGAAGGTAATGCAGTGAGCTGGGTGGAGGTCCAGCAAGGCAGCATCCACACCAGCGGACAGCGTGACAGAGACCCTGCGCCCGGAGTGCAGGGAGAGGGCTGCCAGGTGCGGGGGTGAGGCAGGGGCCAGACGGGGCTGCAGGTGCCCTGGGGTGTCTGTGCAGAGCAGTGGGGCTCAGTCACACTGGAGACTGGAGGCCAGGGAGGGACACGTCCACCCTTGTCAGGCAGAGGTGGCAGTGGGCTCTGAGGACTGGCCTTGGCCGTCAGCTGTGACAACGAGGGGGAGACATCCACCTGCAGCTACCTCTGAGGGGACGTGCAGGCTGACCAGGCCCTTCAGTGCCCCGCGCCCTCCCCAACGCTGACACCCACATCAGGAACCCAGCAACCAGACCTGCCCCACGGCCCCGCCGCTCCCACTGAAGCCCCACAGCCCAGAGCCGACTTGGGGTGACTCACATTGTTCTGTAGATGGGCTCCCTGCAAAAAATGATTTCCCAGGTTCCCGCGCATCTCACGACCAGCCCTGGTGACTGGTACGTATCAGGAGCTCAGCCATTTGCCAAATGAATACAAGAATTTGAATCTGTGGTCACCACCCCAAAGAATCACTTAAAAAAACAGTTATCCTGCAGAATGCATGTGTGTGGCAGGGGCGGGGGACGGTGGCACTCATGTATGTCTGTGAGAGTGTGTGCGTGCACATTCATGCACACACCTGCACCTGTTACACACCGAGGCTTCCCCCCACCCCCCACCGAGAGAAGGGAAGTCGCAATGATACCAAGATGGCTGGCATCTGCCCTTGGCACGGTTTGTCAGACCAGGCAGCAAAAGGGGTAAAAACAGGGAACATTTGGACCTCACTGAGGAACAAAGGGACAGGTGCGCGAGAGGCAGTGGAGGCCGGCAGCAGTTCCCTCGTGGAGCAGCGAGAGGTGGAAGCCAAGCCTCCTCAGTGTCTGGTGACTACTCATGGCAGGGAAAGCTCTGGAGAAATTTCTTTTTTCCTTAAAAATAATTTTACAAAAACTTAGAGTGCATTGGGCATGCCAGTTGGGAAGGGACAGAGGGTAGCTGGCTGACCGACCTGCCTGTTCTCACCACTGCTGGTAGGTGCCCAGAGATGCCCGGTGAACAGCTGATCTGTGTCCCTTGGGCACCAGCAGAGCCAGAGGAAGAGGCTGGCAGCGTGGCACCCAGCACCCAGCACCGCAGACACTTCCGCGGGCTCCGTGGGCCCGGGCTGCCTGCCAGCCTGATGCGTGCGCTGCGTGGCCCACAGCGGACTAGTGGGGAAGGAGCCGCACAGAAACGTGCTCCTGTCTCTACGTGGCCTGCTCGCCCCGGACAGGCCCGTCCACCCTGACTGGGAGCCCGTGGCGGCGTCCAGAGCTGCCAGCCAGCCTCCTCCGGCAGCGCCCCCTCCGCAGGCCTCCAGGCAAGGCCACTCCTTCCCTCCTGGGCTGTCCGGCTCCCGCCTGCAGGATGGAGGGCCGCCCAGAGGCCGCCTGTTCTGGAAAGAGCCCGTCAGGATAGCGTTTGAACCCTTCTGAACTTCCCTGCTCCCCAACTGTGCGGACTACACGGCTCCTGCGTTTGTGTCCTGTGGCTGCCATGACAAAACACCACAAGCGTGGGAGCTTCAAACACTAGGATTTTATTCTCTCTCAGTTCTGGGAGCCAGACGCCCAAAATCAATGTGTCAGCGGGGCCCGTGGACTCTGGAGGAGAAGCCCAGTTCTGGTGGCTGCCGGCACCTGCAGTCCCTTGGCTTGTGGCAGCCTCACCCCAGTCTCTACCTCCACGGTCACATGGCCTCCTCCTCCGGGCGTCTCTATCCAAATGTCCTTATAAGGACCCCAGTCTCTGAATGAGGGCCCAGCCTAATCCATAAGACATCCTAAATAGATTATCTCTACAAAGAACCCATTTCCAAATAAGGTCACACTCATGGGGCCAGGGGTTACGTTATTGGGGGTGGAAAGCCACAGTTCAAACCCCTGCACCCTCGTAGTATTAGCTTCCCAACCTGGCAATTCCTGCCTCTCTGGGTTGTGGCAGGGATTAAATAAAATAACGCGCCGAGCGTCGGGCATAATGTGCCGCACTCAGCTCTCCATCCACACCAGGCACCCCTCCGGAGCCTGCCTCTGCCTCTCCGGGGCCTAGGGCGGCGCCATCACCGACGTGAAGCCCCCGCCAGGGCAGCATTGCGGATGTTATCGGGGGCTGTCTCCTCTCAGTCAGGCTTCCACAAACGAGCCAGGACCCGAGGAAGGCCAAAGGCAGGCGCCTGCGGGAAAGGGGACCGGCAGACCCAGGGTACGAGGCAGGTGCGGAGAAGGGCTGGGGGGGTCTCTCTGAGAGGACCCAGACACGGGGTGCAGGGTGACTCAAAGGGAAGAGCTGACGGGCATGGGTCAGAAGGAACAGGTTGGTAGAAAGCTGAGAAGCCAGGAAGACAAACTTTGACCGTGGGTTTGGTCAGACTCAAACCTGAAGTGTAGTCTTCAACCATCTGGGCATGACACGGAGGGTATATCATCTAGCCCTTGCTGGGTAACAAGCCACCCTAAAACTCAGTGACTTGGAAAGTGTCGATCCTTTCTCCCTGTCCGTGGGTTGACTGGGCAGGGGGTTGGCCTGGCCCCGTGCTGCTGGAGCTGCTCGCTGGAAATGGCTGCACCCACGTGGCCGGCAGCTGCCTGATGTCCGCTGGCATCTCAGCCTGCGTCTGTCATGTGGCTGGGGAACACGGTTCATTCACATGGTGGCAAAGCAGTCCCGGCAACAAGAGGGCATAAGCCCTGGAGTCTCCCAGTACACATTCCTTATGCTGTCGGCCACAGCAGGGCACTGGGCCAAGCCCAGGTTTTGATAGAAGGGGCTGGATAGGATTCATGGCCATATTTTGCCCTCTGCCAGAGTGAGAAAGACTGTGGTTTCAAACCAGACTGTGGAGCCATCCTTCGGTCCTCTCTAGAGTCCTGTTTTAACCTCCTTTGCCACCAAGACGCCCTCCCCCTTTTTCCTGAGCCTTCCAAGAGTTACCCGATGTCAGGTGTGGAGGCACGCTGCCGACCCGATGGAGAGCAGCCGAAACCTTGTCTTGACATGCTGACATCCTCGAACGCCCATGGAAGGAGCTCGGCTAATAAAGCTTGTGTAGGCTCCACGGAGGGACCGCCCCGGGCCCGCCGCCGCCCGTCATGGGCTGCCCGTCCGCCGGCGCTGATGGGGTCTCTGGTCCGACGAGGGGAATCCGGGGAGCATGGCAGTCCACCTGCCGAGCCTGTGAGCAGGCAAAAGGGGACGGTCTTACCGCTGGTCTGGCTTTCTGTCACCAGATTTTATGCATCGTTACTGTACCAACCCATCAGAGGAACCTAACAAAAATGTAAAAGATGCTTATACAATAACTTTGCAGAAAAGCACATTATTAAGAGATTTTTTTTCTTTAATGAGTGCAAGGTTGGACTCTTGAGCCCCTATGTATGCAAGGAAAATGTTTTATTTACTGTTTAAAATAGTAGGCCAGCCCCTGGCTGGTGTGGCTCAGTGGACTGAGCGCCAGCCTGCGAATGGTAGGGTCAGCAGTTCTATTCCTGATCAGCGCAC